TATTCAAACTTGGTTAAACAAATCTTGTTTAGTTTGTACTTTACTGGGCTAGAAGAATAACTTTGCTCGGTTAGAGTCATCAGAAAACCTCATCTCGATCTTGTATGTTAACTTTGTCTTGTGTCCCGTAGGCAGAAATTGAGTGTGCAGTGCACGCAGGGAATGAGCTTACTCAATGATCATTGTGAATTAAAGTGGAGAGAGCAACACAACAGACTCGGCAGCTGGTGGACGTAAGATAATCCTCTTATATTTTTGCTGTATTATAGGTCTCCCTCCAATTAAAGACCACTTTTGGGACAGGGGTTACGATGGCCTGTAGCAGTTTTGGTGTCTAATTAGAATAATAAAGATAAAAGGCATTTGGTAATACTGTATGGGACCACATAAAAGGAGTCTTTAATTGGAGGGAGACCTGTACTACTTTCAATACAATCTCTTAACTGGATAAAAGATTGTATATATTAAATTATGTAATACTGTGTTCACATTACATTAATGGGAAATTGTACCACTGTTCACACTAGTGTTTAATTATGGAGTAGGTTTTACTGAGCCGGTAGTTAAATGGGATTTTACACTTGGTCAATTAAATCATGGATACATTCTAAGTAAATGTCAGCAGTAATAGCATGTTCTCGGAAAGATTTAACTGAGTCGAGCTGTTTGCATTGAACCTTATCTTTCCTGGCAAGTTTTTTTTTTTTGTTTTTGTGGGGTGGGGGTTAAGCTTACTGAATGGCTATGTCAAAAACTGTGCCATATTGGTTTAATTTTAATGTACCTGCTTAACATTCTCCTGAGTCAACTTACCAAAGATGTATGGCAAGCTTAACTGCCTTTAGGGAACACTTGACATTGTTTTTGCCAGTGATGCGGGCTGTGGTGCCCTCATGGCCTGTTTTCGTGTTTAACCGTACAGTAATAACTAAGATATTAATTAACGTAGTAAGCACAAAGCAGTTAGCCAAGGTCCCTGCTCTCTGTATAGTAAAGCACTCAAACAATAAATCAAGAATAATATTAACTGCAGGCAGAATGGGCTGCTTTACCACCTGCATTTTTCCTGTGTGTATCACTTTCTACAAAATGCACTGTTTGTGATTGGTACTGCAGCATTCATTCCAAATGTGGGCACTGTTATTGCATTTGAAGTTATCACTGCATGTCTAGTTTATGCCTTGACTATTTTTTTTTCTTACAGGAGAGCCTTCTTTGAGTACCAATCAATCATGATCTTACTGCAGAATACTGAAAACACAATTAAAATATTTTTTGCTTTCAGAGAGCGTCTTGATAAGGTTGGTAGTGGTTGGTATAAATTAATGGTGGTAGACAGAGTGTCGTTGATGATGAAAGCTTAATGTAAAACCCTATATTTTCGTGCACATTTTTGCGATTTTCATGATGAAATGACCATCGTGAAAATTATAAATTATTGATAGTTGCAATGATAAATATAAATGTGTGGTGGTAATCTATAAAAGAAAAGTACTTTTAATACAAGCTAAATTGTGATAGGACTGAATTTTCCCAGTGTTACATAATCAACAAAATAAAAACACTGTGGTAGTACGTTGCAGACTAACCTATGTTTATTACGGAAGGTTTTGCTAGGTGCTAGTAAAGATGCAGTAAAGTGTTGATATAATAATTATTCTATGACATAATTATTTTTGTAAATCTCAATTATGTGTGTATACTTTTAGCTCAAACGCCAGCATGATAAAATAAGTACTGATGTCAAACAAGTGCTGAGGAGAGCTTTTCAGAAGAAGGATGCCCTTTATTTAAAAGGCAAGGAGCCTGGTCAAGCCAGGTCAATCATGAGCCCGACTTTCACCCAAACCAGTCAGGAAAGAATCAAAAGGAAAAAATATGCGCTTGTTACTAAAGACCAGTTTATTGAGTGAGTATCATTTTAAATTAACTATGTCTCCTTTGTTTGCTGAGCGGTTGGCTGAGAGGTATTGTTCCTGCTTTTTATAGTGAAGACCCCAGTTCAAACCCAGCCAGTATTGGGTTTCAATTGGAGTGTGATCGCTTGGCTCCACGAATAACCCTCATATTGAGAGTTAGGCGGGTTAAGGACAATACACTACAAATAAAAATAGTCATCAGAAAGTAATAACAAAACATTAAATACAGACATTTCTACTTAACGTTGATATAAATAAAATGTGCTGATTATTGCAAAAGAAGTAAGTTCAAATAATAAGTTCAAAATATGTGTTAATAAGAAATCTTCTCATTAAGAAAATACAGTAAAACAAATTAAAAAAATAAATATATGAAAAAAATCAAGGTATAGTTTTAGTTTAGGTCTTGTTTAGAGTTAATTTTTTAAAAAACACCAGACTTTTTTTTTTCTCCTATATGGTAAAGTACTCTTTATTTGATAAAAATAAAAACCTTAAATGACTAATCGCCACTTTTGATATAAGCACTACATACTTATTAATGACAACTTTTAATTTGAAGAAGCGTTGCATTATTACCCAACATGCCTAATTGTTAAACTGAGCGTTTACTGCACCTGATGGCCATTGCCTGAAGAATGCAACGTCGCAACATGTGCACAATGTATCGTTTTGAATGATGATGCGTTGAGTCAATAGACAAGCTCACAGGGAGCTGAGACGGTTGTATGACTGTCTCATGACAACACGAGGGCTCGCCCTTATGATACAACATTGCATCACTATTCAGTCCTTTGACATGGACTGAATATACCAAGGTGGAAATTTCCTCCATGAATATACTAACATAGGGGTCTATATTGCAATAGAGGCCGAAATTGTTCATAGAATATATTTGAATGGCTAGGGTAAGAGCCAAATTTTTGCGTGCCATCCAAGCATATTTACCAACCGACGGTCCCACATTTCAAAGTGATTTTGAAACATATCTGTCTCTTATACACAT